AAGAAAGAAAGAAAGAAAGAAAGAAAGAAAGAAAGAAAGAAAGAAAGAAAGAAAGAAAGAAAGAAAGAAGCAGTTTCCATTCTTCTTAACACCAGTTACAAGAACCTTTCTATTTTACCCTTTTTCTCTAAGGTTACAACATTATTTCCTTCTTTCCATAGTCTACCCTTTCTAATCATCAAACTCATAAATCCCGAGTTCATTCTTTCTTTTTTCAGCAAAAAGTCCATAAGGAGTTTTCAGCTGCTAATAAATGTGGTTATTGTCCTTTCTCTAATCAGATAAGTCAAGTTTGGCGTCTCTGCTAATTTTGTCATCTTCACTAGCCATTCCTCCGTTGTGGGTATTTCAGAGCCTTTTCATTTCTGTGCATATATAGTAATAATCTCGCAGCAGTTATCATACATAAAAACAATCTTCCACAACTCTTTTCAAATTGTCTATCCATTAGTCCCAGCAAGAAAAATCCACCTTGCCATCCTATTTCTAAACCTTCAATAGAGGTTCCATGCTGCTGAGGATCCCTATGACTCGTCCCTTCAGTCGAGGAACTTAAACTTATCCCTGTATATGTCTGCTTGGAAGGACACTCCAAAAGTCCAATGGGACTTGTGTCCTCAAAAGTACTAGACAAATGTCCTAGAGAATTCTTGGGCATTGCATTTTAAGTAAGCACGCAAAGAATTATTCTTTTAAAGGAGGTAATGGATTGGAACTGGTCATGCTTGGATTAGACCAACTATGGGAAATTTCAAAATACCGATATCCCTGTTTCCTAGTTCAGGAGAAGCCATAGATAGTTTTCAAGTCGCTTCTGTCTAATATTAAAAAATTAACATGGCCACTTGTCAGACATATACATGGAGGATTTCAGATTTCCCTGGAAATGAATTCTCTTTCTCTGCCTCCTAGCTGAGCAAAAATATTTGGAAACAGAGTCTTCTCCTTTTGGTGCAGGGGAGGGTGGGGAGCAAAATTGACTTTTTTTTTTCTTTTTTGGCACAGGTTGGAAAGCTGATCAAAGAAGCCGCCTCAAAAAGCAATCTCAAGAGAGTGACTCTCGAGCTCGGCGGGAAGAATCCTTGCATCGTCTGCGCAGATGCTGACCGTGAGTGGGGTCCGATTTGGACATTTCTGTCACCACTGCAATAAGTTTCTCCCGGCCTTTTAAGACAGCGAGCAGAAGCTGTGGAGCATTAATGTTGGGTGGGGAGGAGAGTTAATAGTGTGGGTAGGGGAAAAATGAGGACAAAAAACCACAAGATCATTCAGACTTCAGGGTGCACTATGGCTCCTGTTTTGTAGTGAGTATAGGATGGAGCTGTGCTACCTTAGAAGTTCCATCTAAGGATGCAGAAGACATTGGTTCTGTTCACATTTAAATGGGCAGTTCCTGAATTTTGCATGTTTTCATTGTCATGAAGTGAAAGTATGGTTTGAAATTCACATGTCTCTGAATTTTGTAGTGTAGCTGTCCAGTCAAAGGCTTTTATGTAGACATCCTACTTAAAACTCTGTAAGGAGGAGGTGTGTCTCCATGGGAAGTTGAGTTGAGTTGAGTTGAGTTTTTGTGCCTTCGAGTCAGTGTTGACTCCCGACTAGTCCCTGCAGTTTACTTGGCAAGGTTTCAGGAGTGGTTTGCCATTGCTGAGAGAGAATGACTGGCCCAAGGTCACCCAGCTGGTTTTGTGCCCAAGGCAGGACTGAAATCACAGTCTTCTGGTTTCTCGTCTGGTGCCTTAACCATTACACCAAACTGGCTCTCTAAATCTGGATACATCCTTGTAGTTTTCTTGGCAAGATTTTGGAAGTGGTTTGCCATTGCCTTCTTCCTAGGGCTGAGAGAGAGGGACTGGCCCAAGGTCACCCCGCTAGCTTTGTGCCTAAGGCAGGACTAGAACTCACAATCTCCCGGTTTCTAGCCTGATGCCTTCACCACTACACCAAACTGGGTCTCCCATGGGAAAATCTCTACCCTTTATTCAAAGGTACACATCTTTGGCAAGTCTAAACTGGGCCTGGAAGGACACCAACTAAGATCCTGGGGAACAGCTACCAACATCAGGTGGTCTCGGTATATTGTAGCTTCCTGGGCTAATATTTTTACCTCATTCTCTCTGACCAATTTCCAGTGGACTTAGCTGTAGACTGTGCCCACCAGGGTGTCTTCTTCAACCAAGGTCAATGCTGCACAGCTGCTTCACGGGTTTTTGTGGAGGAACAGATATACCCAGAATTTGTCAAACGCAGCGTGGAATATGCGAAGAAACGACTCGTGGGGGACCCATTTGATTTCCAAACTGAACAGGGGCCACAGGTATAATATTACCTTTGAAGAATTGTCGGTTTATCCCAGTTTGTTAAATATCAGCTGGGCTTATAATGTGGTCCTAAAGCAGTGCTTCTTAACTGGATGCTGATGTACAGCCCTGCAGGTTGAAGTTTTTGTTTGCTTGTCTTTAAAACCCAAATTCTGTCTGTGAAAGTGTGTGGCTCGCAAACTCCTGTTTGTCCAGTTTATTTATTTATTCATCACATTTTTATAGCTGCCCACCTCACAAAACATGACTCTGGGCAGTGTACAATAAAAGCAGACCGTAACAAGAAACGAACAGTAAAATTATTCCATAATAAAAACATTAATATTATTTTAAAACACTAGGAGAGAGCATCTTTGATGTTACATACAGTGTAGCCCTCTTGCCAGTTCTCCATTTCCACTTCATCTGATATAGTTTGATTAAAAAAACCAACAACTTTTCTCTATGAGTTCCTTGGGCAAGGAGGAATCAAGGCACTTGGTGTTTTCTCTGTTCTTTAGTGAATCTCCATACCTGATTGCATTCTGCAATAAAATCTCGCCCGTACACTACAAAGCTCCTTTGCTTGATTTTTCCTGCTTATGTTAACACACACACACACACACACACACACACACACACACTTTCCTTTCCATTAGCAAGCATCTCCCAAGGAAAACTAGTTCCACAAGCTTGTAATACAATATTACCAGCAGTGCATGGAAGCCTCTGTTGTTTCAGACAATCCAAGGAAGAAATAGATTTTGGAAGAATAATTGTATCGGAAGTAGCCTGAGACAAATAATTAGATGTCTTCCATGAGGGAGGCTATTAATGCATGGATGAGAAATAAGGTCCAGGTAGATCTGCTTGTCGCATTACTAGCATCCATTTCTAGTACCTTGTAATAGCAATGCAACTTCCATTTTTATTTTGATAGATTGATCAGCAGCAGTTTGACAAGATCTTGGACTTGATCGAAAGCGGGAAGAAAGAAGGGGCCAAGCTGGAGTGTGGTGGTTTAGCAATGGGCGATTGTGGCCTGTTCATCAAACCAACCATTTTTTCAGAGGTTACAGACAACATGCGAATTGCCAAAGAGGAGGTATTATAGACAAAGATTTGGGGTGGTTAACAAAGAACTGATTTTTCTTCATAATCATGCCAATTTGCACTTTAAAAACCAAAGAGGCACATGGATTAAAGTAATACGTTAGGTGTCCCTCACCTGGTGCTCTCCAAAACGTATTGAGACTTGGGTTCACAGAATTTGGGCTTGTTGTGACAACACAACTGAAGGACACCAGATGGGAAAGCTAAACTGATGTGATTGCTGAATATCCAGTGTGAAAGGCAGATGTGTTATGTAACTCAATTAATTGTCTGATGGCCCTGATTTTAATGTCAACAGATTTTTGGACCTGTGCAGCCCATAACGAAGTTTAAAAGCCTAGAAGAAGTCATACAGAGAGCCAATAATACAGAATACGGACTCACGGCAGCAGTGTTTACAAAGAACTTAGACAGAGCCTTGACCTTAGCCTCAGCGTTACAATCTGGCACTGTCTGGTGAGATGACCTTTTTCTTTACTGCAGAAAGTAGCTTCATTAAGTCATGACACTTTAATCTTCAGCTTGTAGCCATCATAGATGAAATATAGGAATGGGTCCTGTCCTCCATATCTTCTGATCTTAGAGTGCATTAAGATGTTTTTCCCTTCCCCAGTTTAATGCATGGAGCTACTTGGAAAGGGGAAGGGAGTTGTACGTGGGGTTAACGCATCCTGCTAACTCAGACTGTAGCTTGTTTGGCTTAATAGGTTGCCAGTTATGGCTTTTTCAATGAAACATAGTTAAGCACACCAAGGCTTAGCCTAAAGAGTAAGCTCTTCCCATGCTGTATAGCAGTATTACTAAGCTGTTTGTTTTTCTACCTCCACAGGATCAATTGCTACAACTCCTTCTTTGCACAAGCTCCCTTCGGTGGTTTTAAAATGTCAGGAAATGGCAGAGAACTGTAAGTTCTGTTTCTTTTTGAAAAAGAAAAAGAAAAACTGGGGAGGGGCAGGAACAAGAATCTAATTTTCCTTTGTGTTGGCTTAGGGTTTCTTGCTTCCTAACTTCCTTGTCTGGACTTCAAGTGTTCCTTATTTCCATGGGCCCCTTGACCTTGAAACTTGGATGAGCCTCTAATATGCAGATCTTCCCATAGAATTCAACCTATTTCTCATTAAACCTGCACTTAGGCCATAAGCTATGATCCTTGGGGAGGCTTTTTTATTTTTATTCCACTTTCATTTAACCTACATGATATATACAAAAATAACTCCTCATGATATAGTGTGAGAGCCAGTTTGGTGTAGTGGTTAAGGCATCAGGCTAGAAACCAGGAGATGGTGAGTTCTACTCCTACCTTAGGCATGAAGGGTGACCTTGGGCCAGTCCCTCCCTCTCAGCCCTAGGAAGGAGGCAATGGCAAACCATTTCCAAAATCTTGCTATCTCTCATGATATAGTTTACAAAGGCAGGAAATAAACAGCTCATATTATCCAGCAAAACAAGCCAGTTTAAAATATTCAGGCAAAGAGATAAGGTTTTAACCTGCTGTTCTCCAAATGGGCACTCGCAAACAGAAAACTCTCTTCCTTGTCACCTTGTAAGGTACCAGCAGTACTTGGAGAAGTGGCTAAAGCAATTGCCCCAATCTGGACTCTTCTAGATGTGTGGACTTGGGTTGTCTGAACTCCCCAGTGAGCATAACCATTGCTAAGACTTCTGGGAGTTGACATCCACACATCTGGGGAACATCAGGGGTGGGAAAAACAAGGAGAAGCAAGTTGATTTAGTGAGGCACATCTTCACATAGTTGTTCTCCAAGGCATGTAAGATTTTTTTAAGTTAAACATTATATTTTGAGCTGGATGCACAAGCCAAGATTTTTATAATTACCTCTTACTCCCTAGAAATCTAAATATAATTAGAATATTCAATAATTGTCCTTAGCCAAAAGGAGTCTTCTAGGGAACAACTATGTGAAGATTCAGTCCTGAGCTCTAATTAAAATGTTCTGGGACCAAAAGGATATGTGGATAGATTTTTAAGGACGCAACCATTGTTTGACACTCAGATTTTCTAAAGACAAAAGAAGACTGAAATATGACACCAAGATAGTTTATTTTCATCTTTGGCTCTGAAGGATGGCCCTCCAAGGCCCATCTGCTTTTTTAATGTCATGTCTGGAAAGCTTACAATCTTGTATTCATGACTGACATTTATCCTTAGTGCGTTAAACGGGCATGGGGAGGGAAAGAAATATAGAGTGACTCCCTGACACGCTGAAGTACTCATATCTTAAACATTTTGTTCTCCTGCAGAGGGGAATACGCTCTCTCGGAATACACAGAAGTGAAGACGGTCACCATTAAACTGTCTCAGAAGACTCATTGAGCGACGGACGCAAGGAGGCTAAAAACTCTTGACACTCTGAATGTTGACGTATAATGTGGATTGAGGGGCCTGTGCTAAAATTGGAAAGGGGGAAAATTGCCAACTTTCCTTTCTTTAAAAAGGAAACCAAATAATTTTTAGAGGGTCATGTTGAGCTGCTCCTACCAACTCAAAATTAATTAACTGGTTTTCTGAAACAGGCTTGGTCTATCAGCTGCAAGGATCTTTCCTCCAATCTGGTGTCTTCCAGATGGGTTAGGACTTGATTTCCCATGTCTTTGGCCATGGCGCTAGGAATTCTGGGAGCTGAAGTCTCAGAAAACATCTGGAAGGCACCAGTTAGAGAAAGGTGAAGAATGAAAGAAAAGCGTGGAAGTATTTTCAAGTAGCCGGACTCCAACCAACCCAAAGAGATATCCAGGTTTGGGAACAGATTTCCAGGTGGAGCCCTGAGGCTATTTGACATTTTTATACTCATTCACTTAGGATTGTTTTCCAAATCCCTAAAAATGGAGGCCTTCAGAAAATACTTTAATCAGGTGCTGAAGGCTAGATGGCAGGCAGTTTTTACGCACAACATTTTTTTTTTCCTTGCCCACACTACTTAGAGTAGGGATTTTTGCAACTTAGCAAAGGGGCTCCATTTTGGGATTTTCCGGCAAATATTTTACTGTTGGCGAATGTTAAAGTGATTTTGAAATGTTCCATGAAGACGAAAAAGGAAGGATCCCAGATGCTCTCATGAGTTTCTTGTCCATTAATTTCTCACAAGCACTTGCACAGACATTTCCCCCTCTGGATGGTGAACAAGAGCATTATTGGACTGCTACAATAATTGCCTCTCTCTTGTGCATTTCATGACCACTGTCCACAGTGCAATCTGGAATCTTTGGTTTATTTTTTATGACTCGCTTTTTAAAATAAATATATTCTATGCTGTGATTTCAAGCTTTTTCAATGTCTTGTAATTACTGACGATAACCAGATTTTATTATGGTTTTGTACACACTGAATTTTTTTTTTACTTTGGAAATTAAAATCTTAGGCACTAATTGTAAAGTACAACCCTGTAGAGTCTTTATACTATTTCATTGCATGTTAGTGCTGTTTTTTGGTATGAAGTATTATCATTAAATGTTTAAATATAAATATATATATAATATATTTATAAATTAGAATGCAATTAATCTAATGTATTTTTATTGCTGATTGTACATGGAAATAATTTGCCTATTTTAAAAGTTATCTCTTGTAATAGTAGCACTACAGTAATAAAATATTATAATTTTTATGATCCAGCTTGCTTATACCTAAGGGGCAATTCCATATCCTGCAAAACAGAACTTTAAAAAAAAATAATTTGTATTGATTTTTTTTAAAAAGCAATAATAAAAGACAATACAAACTAAACTCAGAAAGAGAAAGAAAAAGGGAGAAAGAGAGAATTGAAAGTGCAAGAGAAAAAAAAAGGAGAAAGAGGAAAAGAAAAAGAAATATTGAAAGAAGTGACTTCCGATCTTCATCACATCAAGTACAAACTTAGTAATTCTTTACCCCTATACGGTTGAATGCAACTATCTCTTCTTCTCATAACCCATCCCTTATCCATATGCAAATCCATAAATCATTAATATTTCAGTCCTGGTGTTAGCAAAAAGTCCATAAGGGTTCCCAGAATTTTATAGAAACATGTCTTAGTTTAAGTTTAGTCAAATAAACCAACTTTATACTCCTTCCTTTTGCTTTTAGCAATCTTGATCTTTAATTCATTCAGATGTTGTTGTAGGATGTGATCTTTCTTCAGTTTTCCTTTTTCCCATCTCAGAAGCTGCTTTGAGGCTTTAGCAAACCTCTTTTGTAAATCCAGTAAGTGGTCATTATCCAGATCATTCTCTTGGCTTGTCATTTGTATTTCCACTTTAACTGTCATCTCTGTCTTATAATCCAGATTTTTTTTATTTTCCAGTATCTCAACAATTTCTTTATATTCTAATATTTATATTCTAATACTTCTGCATCAGCATCCTGTAGATCTCCCAAGGTATTCTCTTTCACATCTGTCATTTCTTCTTTAACATCTTTTGGACATAGTCTATCCATAGAAACAGACATCATTGCTGATATGGTAGCTATTAGTTTCTGCCCCCATTCTTCAAATATCTCCTGGAGTATTTCAAATGTCATACCATTTTCTGTCATTTTGTCTCAGTGCTGACCAAAGACAAAAGGCAAGCCTGTTTTCTTTTTTTTCCTTTTTCCTTTTATGCCTGGAATTTTTAGCCCTTTCTAGTGTCCAATTTCTGAAATCATAAAAGTCTTGAATTGCTGTTACGACTTAAGGTAGACTAAACAATTTAGTTCCCATGAAGATGTGGTTTATTTATATAATTATTTCCAAAATCTCATAGCAAAAAGTCCTAATATTCCAAATTCATCTGGTCCCTTAATTCATTTATAACTTCCTTGGATGAAAGTCTTATTTAGCTTTTTGCCATTTGTTTCAAATTCTTTACATTCTTAAAGTTATAGTTAATTTTTCTTTTATTCTGGAATGAAGGTAAATTTACCAGGTGGCTTTGCAAACTTCTTGTTTTGAAGATCTCCAATAGCCTTAAGAAATTCAGAAATAGGTAATTTCCGAAAGTGATTATAAAGTGAGATCAGTGTCCTTTAAAAGGGTCCGCCATTGTTGAGAGCGTGATGGCTTTCCTTTGCCTCCCAATGTTCAAACCTGTAGAAAACTGCTATTCTACAATCTCCTTGCAAGAAGCAGTCATCTGGAGCACAGATGGGCAGCCTCCCATCATCTCCTTATCTGGAGAAGTTCCATGGGACCAGTCTACTCACCGGTCCTTCAGTCATGGCTGCAACATTGTCTCTGCTCATTTGGAGGCATGCTAGCTTGTCATTCCTCACCCAGAAGTCCACTGCAAAACAGAACTGAATAGAATTTAATTCTGATTTCAGCTAAAGAAACCTTGGAAATGAAATCTTCAGCAATTCTACTATGAATGGACCGATCTGCATCTCCTGGGCCCAATAGGAAGAGTATTGTCATAATTCCAAAACATGCATTTTGGATCCCACTTTTGGCTCACACATGAAAATGTGTTTTAAAACATCACCATGTTGCTGGATAAAGTGTTTAAAAAAGCAAGGCTCCGCCCAAATAACTATTGAAAGGTTCTCTTCCCTCCCAAGCTATATGCTACCATTTCTGGTTTTTAAGCTCTGTGGCAGCAAATTTGAATCCAAAGAAGTCTCCCCGCTTCTGAATGTAGGGATGGAGGTGGCTCAGGAGCTCATGGCCGCCATGGCGACTATGGCCTGACTATAGTCATTGAGGGCTCAGTTCATAGTGCTAGTCACACATTAGATCTATTTTTTCATATATATATTCTTTTGTCTTGGGGGATTGGTGACATGTTCTGCATATGGGGGACATTAAAAATCAGTCCCTTGTCGTGGTCACTCTCTGTTATCCATAGCCGTTCCCTACTGCAGGAAGGTGGGACCTATTTGATCTGGTGCCTAATAGACCATTTCATGTTCCAGAGGGATGATGTAACAGGCTGTAAGAATAACCTTGAGGAACATGAGGAAGAGTTGCAACCAAGACAATGGTCAGATTTAAAAAAAAAAAATTAAGTCCAAAGTAGGAATGGAATTTGAGAAAGCATCTCAGACTTGACCCTCCCTAGTTCTCTTGAAGATAAAGGCAAGGAGGGGGAGGCGCATTCAGAGTTGCAAGATTCGGTTACTGTAACCCTATAATAAAAGCAGTAATGCATTAGCTTTCATGACTTTGGTTTCCTAGTCTGGTCTACCTTGAAGAGCTGATATCAGTCTTGCAAGTCTCAGTGTGCCTGTGATGAGTGGGTGGCTGAATGAATGAATGAATGAATGAATGAATGAATGAGAGGAAGGAGGGAGGGAGGGAGGAAGGGAGGAAGGGAGGAAGGAAGGAGAGGAAAAGGAAAGGAAGGAGGGAGGGTTAGGGAATGGGGATAGTGGGATGTAGAAGAGACAGAGCGGGGGGAAGGAAGGAAGGAAGGAAGGAA